CAATGCTTGTGCCGTCGGGCAATTTATTTTGCGTTCTTAACAAAGATCGTGCATTTTCGAAACCGAACATTAAATTGATAAATGGCGTTTCGTCATCCGCAATTTCGTCTTGACCAATCAGCCACGAGACCTGTTCTTTATATATGGTCAATTTGTCGATTCGTTCCTGTTCATTGGAACCTATTAAGCGATTTTGAAACACGCGTGAACGCTCGCGTGAACACTCGCGTGATTGCGACATTTTTGACACCTACGAAACGTGTGATTTTCAATCGGAGCAACGCGGAGGAGCACACGCGTGATATACGTAGCCTCGGGCACAATGAACACCTCGGAGCGAGGTGCTCGTCGACGATCAAGTTTTGCGTTCTAGTTTTTTGGAGCGCAAACGATAAGGATTGACGAAACGTTTTAGCGGAGCAACGCGGAGTAGCACACGCGTGATATACGTAGCCCCGGGTACAATGAACGCCTCGGAGCGATGCGCTCGTCGACGATCAAGTTTTGCGTCCTTTTCCTTTCATTTATCTTGGGTGGACTGTTTATAAAATTATAGACGATCGGCATAAAAAAGAAAAAATTCTAACGCGTGCGCATACGAAATATGCATTTGTAAAGAAGCTGTACACATACGTATGTAGGTATATACATGAGCTGCGAGTTCTCCTGAAACCTGCGAACCATTCGAATGCAAAGGCCTTCGTAAAGCCCGTGATGCATTGTCGGCCGATAGATGTTACTCCGGAGAGCCCGGCGGAGGAAGCGGTTTTACGATTCTCGGCGGGGAGACGAGCTCCCGCCGATATTCCTCGTCTCGAAACACTCGGGTCGATTTGCGCGCGTGCACGCACGTGTACGCGCGTCTCACGTGGGAATTCGCGCTGCTCGGTGAGACGAACTTTTGGTCAAATACCATTTCTCGAAGACAATGGTGACCGAACATACGCCCAACGATCCGGTGTGTCCGGTACGAAACCATCGAAACTTGTTCGACGGATCGTGTTTGCGTGATCGCGCAGATTTTCACCCGTTGTTTGCTATGGACTCTGTTATTACGAGGCAAAGGAATAAAAACAAAAAAGTTATACGTCAATTTTATTCAAATAGCAATCTCCATTAATAATAATAATTTCTTACTTGCTACTGATATTCGCGATAATCTTAAACATATGTAGATTGCCTCGAGTATCTTTGTCTTGTTGAATTTAAAAGTATTAGTGGAAAAGAGTTTGATCGAGAGATCGTTGAGGCGAGGCGTTTGTAACGACGCCGCGGCCTTCCAGCGTGATCTATACGTTGCTCTGTCCGAGTAACCGGTGCCGTTTCGCAATTTTCTTGCATCAAAGATCGCGCCGGCCATTCGTTTGACTTTCCATTGTGCGCCACATAAGACCACATTGCATTGCCGCTGATAATTTTTTAGATTTACATTGCGAAATATGTCGAGTAATTTCGTTAATTAGATGCAATATTTCGCTTATCACTTACTATATATTTTGGCGATATCTTTTACAATTTACATAAAAGAAGAAATCGCTGTTGTAAGGAAAATATATGTCTGGTGATAAAGTATCGTAATTAAGTTGGATTTAAATGCCGATATTGCACATAACTTCTTTACGTATATTACGTAATTTCCTTATTTGGTGAAGTATGTAATAAAAACCAGCGTCCGCGTAAGATTTCTTGAAAAGGTGAATGAATAGGCGTAATAAGCTTTAAATCTTGCCACATTGTTGCGAGAGGGTAGAGTTTCATAATCCAGAGCCCAAGATCGTGATCTTGCACACCGATGCTCAATTCGACTTTCCATTTCGTCCGGTACGCATACACACATAATACATTATCGAGCCGATTACCCATTGCATTTAAAAACGCCGCGATTATGCATGCGCCCCGATATTTATGGTTGTGCGGGCCATAGCTTTACGGGATTTTTTGGTCGACATTAATCATGCAGAAGAGGGACCAACGGTAAAAAAAACGGAGAGAAAGAAAAATACAATTTATCGAGTCGTAAATCTTGTCGGCACGTCGATGCAGGTAGGGCGTTGTGGACGATGAAGGAAAATAAGACTCCGTAGTATAAGTTGAATAATCGATTATATTTGGTAAAACATTTACAAGATAATAAGATTTTTTTTCATTTAACGTATGTTACATTTACAGGCAAGGCATCCTCAAGAACCGTACCAATTCTACAATAATCGTAGTAATGTGTAATGTTACTTATAAGAAAGTATGTACCATCAAATTATCGTTATCATTACTATCAATATTAATATTCTTTTACGGTATATTACTACTCTTAATATTTCTTTAGGAACAAATACATATTTTTTTTCTTTAATCAATATACATCGATTCGCGGCTATATATGAACAGTAGATCTGCACTTCCGCATAGGCGAATTAAGGTACACGACGGATACTTTTTTATCGAACGTAGGAAAAGAAAGAAGAACAGAGTGGTGTCGCACGTTTCTTCGGTCTCCATAAATTTCTCCTCTGTCTCGTCTCCTTCGTCTTTCCTTTTTCCTTTTTACTCCGTATTTCAGATGTACGATAGGTCCAGGTTTTTTTTCGGATCAGTCAAGTTGCAAAAAAGAGCAACAACCGTCGGTGACGGGATCAATTCGATTCTTATTTGGATTCGATTCCTATATTTGGTCGAAAATAATATTTACAATGAATCTCTTTCGACTAATTCTCATATGTCACGAATCCATAAATCCTGGGATTCGTCGAGGTATAATCGTATCAATTATTAGCAGAACGCGCAACAAACATTATTGGTCATCGGATTCGAGGGGGAGGGAGAAACATGTGGTACGCAAAACGGAGCTCGGCCCTCGCGATGTGTGTGGCTACAGAGATCTGAGGTGAATTACGTATAAATGTTACGATGCTAGTGGTAAGATATGAACTTGTCGATAACTGCTAATATCCATGAAGAAGTGTGATGATGCCTGCTCGAAACCAAAGGGACAGCGCGGAGAAAGGTGGGCGGGGGAATGGCTGAGCTGAGACTATTTATGTCGTACATGACAGAAGCATGATCGTGTGACGACGATTGACAATACACGGTAGAACAACGGTATCGCTAATAGACTATTGCACTGTGTGTCGATTAAAGAGACGAGTCCGTTTACTACGGGCGAGAAATTGCATACGTGGGGAGGGCGGCGTGTGTGTACCGTTTTGCAAGTATTTGGAGTTTCAAATGATTGAGGCGATAAGAATTAGTTCCAATTGACGAAACGCTTTATTCGGTCCTCTCTTCACTAAAGTGCCGCAAACATTATTATTGATTTCGAACGTTTCACGCGACGACGGGCGCGTTTCGTCGCGGCGACTTGCACGCAAACGGAAAAGGAAAATGGAAGTACGACTATTGTCGGTCAATAAAAGTCGTGATTCCCATGAAATCTTCGATGAGCGCATGTTGAATGATCACGCACACATGTACACATGCACACATTCTCTTTCTCTCTCTCACTCTTTCTCTCCTCCATTTTATCTCTTTAATGAAATTCTTTTCCTAGATTTTTCTTGTTCGCCCTTTTTCTCGTCTACTTTCCAGTTTGCTTTTCTTTCATTGGAATGTTCTGCGCTTGGAGTTCGACGGTGACAGCAATCAGCAATCGTTCGCATAAAGATATTTTGCACATTTGTATATATATTTATATATTTATATACTCTTCTTTGTATCTAATTACTTAAGCAACTTAATTTTCGCAATCTTTATATGCACTCCATTTATAATGCATATAAACTATGTACAAAACAACGACAAAGTAGACTTAACGAGCGGAAACTCTCCGTGGAAAATGACGTTGGAAAACAGAATAAACTATTCGTACTATCTCGCGTACTACCTTCTCGCGCGATTCTTCGATTCGCAATCAATAATATCAGTGACAGTGATAATCGTGATGGTAATAACGATGGTGATAATGATAATAATAGAAAATAATAATAATAATAATAATATATCGTAGCGATAATAATGTCAGTATTAACAGTAATAAGAAGAATAGTAGATAAACTCAATCCGAAAACGTGTATATTTATCACGTGATCCACATGTAGTGGAGTTTATATCTATCTTCGTATGATTAATTGATGGAGAAAATGATTTCGCGCTTCCATGAAAGAAGTATGTCGTTTGAAAGGAATAACGGAAAGAAGAAGAAGGAAAACGCGACCCTTAAGTGGTACTATACGTACATTACCCATAATAATTAGTGTTCTTTGGTAACACAGTGATGCGTCCGGAGACCACGAATACGGTTTTAACGTATTGTCTGATCGTGACAAGATGGTCCCGAAATTATACTCTCGATCACTACGCTCCTCCACTTCCAAAACTCTGGTCTAACTATATTATGACGACGTTGTACAGTTATCGTTAATTGATTAGCTAATTAATCTCCATTGACGAGGCCTCTGACGCGTCGCCAATAAAAAAAAGTCCATCTCGTTTTGCGTCCTACGTTATTATGTACACGTGTATCAATGCGCGAGCGCATTTTCTTTCTATATACACGTATGACCGTTGTAAAATCTTCATATGTGATCCACCATTTGCCCCAAAAATGGCGAAAAGACTATAATTTTGATAATCTGTCTAAAATTCAAATTTTATCACGTCGTTTTCGTATTTCTTCAAATTGTTTCTTGATGTGTATACGCCACTCTCGAAGTAAATGGCGCAGATTCGCCGCGCGAATTAATCGCGCTTTCTCACGCACGAGAGTAACTATTCTCATCATATATCATTTACGTCATATGTACATAACGACAACAAACAGATTAGCGAAATTACCGTTTCGTAAGAACACGCGACAAATTTTTTGTCGATCGTCGGTCGAAACGGTTGAATAAACTTGTAGTAGATTTATGGAGCTCTCACGAACGGTTTTTCGAAGCTTACGAATCTGAGTAGGTAGGAAAAAATGCAAGCGCATCAACCGGCTGTGTAAAGAAGAAGTTCCGGGACGTTTTCATCCTCGTTAGAAAATACTAGCACACGCTTCCGAATGACTTATCGTCCGGAAGCTTCTTCCCTTTTCGACTTTCTTTCACTCGCGCACGCATCCTAGCTCGCCGCATCATCCTTTAAGCTTATCAGTAATTAAGTAAATATCTTTTTATGTACACCCTGTTCGAATAGTTTTCTTAATCCTAGAATTAGAAATATCGCGACGATGCGCATAATGAAATATGTAATTATTCATTATGTATATGGAACTCTTCTGTTTTTAACCGCTTTTAAACAATGTATGACGATAAACCCGCATAAATATCTAATTCAGTATGAATTTTTCATCGCGACTATAGCCTCTCGACTTTCATCAGAAACAATCTTTTTACGAACATTATAAAGTAGCTCCAATCGATTTATGCCTAGAAATTTTCTCCAATTATTCTCAAACTTTGTTTCGCTAATTTTATAACGTTTCGATACTTAAACCTATAATCTTGCACTCGTCTTGTTGGATCGAATGCATTTAGTTCGCCCAAGCGGAGCGTTTTGCAGCAAAAGATAAGTTCGTGTGTAGAGCGATGGAGTTGCCGACAGAGCAGCGGTATAAACGAAGCCTTGAAGAAAGGAATTTACGCTGACTCTGACATTATTCTCGGTGCTCACACAGGCGCATCAATACTCGCATTGCTTCCTCGCCGATCGTTGTGACTACGAGCCAAGTTGCCGAACGCTGGCCAAATAAACGTAGCTCTATGGTTGGTGGAGCAACAGTTGCTCCAGCTCGTCGGCGGATCTGAGCAGAAAGGCGGCTGATTCTCGATATCCACCTATCAGTTGTTTCACCGCGGTCAATTCCATCGAGTTCAGCTTGTGACTCAGCAGAGCAGGCTTTGGTGGGTTCTTCATGCTAAGGTCCGTCGGTCCTGTAAGGATAACGTCGATTCAGAATCAATTGCGCGCGACAATTTCGAAACGTTCTGTCAAGCATTATCAAAGCAAGCATGGTGTGAAACGTTATGATGTTATGAAATAAAATTTCATGCAAACTCCATCGAAAAAAAGTATCATTAAAAAGTATCAAATTTAATAACCGAAGCAATAACCGAATGACTCAAAAACATTATTACTCGCAAAAAACAGAGTAGGTACTGCAAACAGTTACTAAAACTAATTTATATATAATTATTAAAATGCCAATTAGATGCGAATAAAAATAATTGAAACTTAGATATAAAAATAATTCTAAAAAATTTTGAACTAAAGCTGAATGAAGCTTTAATATTATTTACATCCATGGCTATGCAAACGATTCAAAGAGTGCAATAAAGTCAACATATTACACCAATAACCAGTATTACTTTGTATACCGTTGCTTAGTAGACTCGACGTAAAACTTTGAGTCGGGTATAGCCCGGCTGAGAGGGTCGGCGGTACCGTTGTGGGCCCGGCACGCTGGAACGCTTGGCTGAAGTTGGGTCTGTACATCGTCGGTGCACCGCCACTGGCGACACCATTCACCGTCGAACTGACTATCGTCGATTGGCTGAAAAACAAAAAGACGCAATGAGAATGAGATGCGCGCTGGCGATAAAGGTCGCCGCCGATTAGCGCTTTACGTTCCGTTAAGGACGCGTAACCCGTTCGTCGAGAGGCGTCCGGTGAATTTTTGTGCCATGACCTGTGACCGAAGGCGAAGCCTTATCTAGAACTCGGTCGATTCGACGACGGGGGATTTTAGCGCCGATAACAATAATCGGTTACGGTAATTCACAGGCAGAAAGTAAGTTAATCGTAATCACGTCAAACGATATAATGGTAGATTTCTTTTGCAAAAAATGAGCAGTTAATAAATCGATACCGGCGGAAGTCTCGATTGAGAGGAAAATTTATTTTTATGCTTTATATCAAATATCGGTTTGGCTCTGCCCGAGTGGTTAATTAAGAGATGTATAAGAGCGCGGCTGTGTGTGTGTGTGTATTACGTCAATTCGAAAAAAGCAGTTTTCATCGGTTTTGTCGTAACTAGTTCATCATACTGACCTCATGAGACTCTTGTTGTCTGTTGTGAGCAGCTTTGACGCGGATGCGATCGACAGCGGCGTGGAGGAAATAGTGTTGTTCGGTAAGTTTGCCAAACTGGTCAGAGGTGCCAGGGACGTTAACGATGCTGGTGGGGTGTCCTCCCTTTTACACGTGAGTGATTTAACCGGTGTGCTTGAGAAGTGCTGCTCCAAACCTGATCGAACGTCCGTTTGCTGCAATCAACATTATCGCGAGATAAAGCAAACTGTTACACCGTAATCGTAAATATTTTGTCTGTCCTGATTTTTAATTTACGCACGTATTTAACAAACATATATCGGAGAGTACTTTCTTGTAACGCGTATAAATTTTATTTTAAAGACGCAATTGAGACTTTAATTTCGTTTTTCGACAAATCGTTACATAATCATTTATTAACGGAGAACGCCTTTGATTATTGAAACGCCTCTCTTCCTGTAGAAAGTGATAATTTTCATACATGTTTAAGTATTTTTTAATCCAACCCTCGTTAACGCCGGTGGAGAATGAATTTATTATTACGAATTTATTACGATTGTGATGTTACCTCACATCTTAGTATTTTTTAGGGCTAAGAATTTCGCATATTTTTTGGATACTTTTAAATCCGATTTATTTCAGTTATACGCCTATTTTCATATTAATATTTTTTCCTATAAAATCGCACGTTTTTAAACAACGATATAATCGAAAAATAAGATTTAAGAACTCTCAGGTCTATCTACAGAATATCAACAAACAATTGTTACTTTGATGTTGCTACAATTACGTCGCGATATTGAAGAACGATGATAAAATAACACCGCGGCGAGCCCGCTATAATTGTACCTGTTGAATTTGATCGTGATCGCGCACCAGCTTGTGAACTACCGGCAGATTTTTTTTCCTCATGGCTGACACGATCGGGAGTAACCAATCTTATGCAAGCACGTGACCTAATCAGCAAACAACACGGACACTATCGATCACCATACGAATTATCGATCATCAGCCGCGAAGATCGCCCCGACACGAGCTAATCGAGCCTCTATTATATCGTCTACCCGCGATCTTGTTATCAACGCGATCCCGATCATCGAGCACGATCGTATTCACCGCTATGAGCAACCGAGCGGAACAAAGTGCGCCGGGAGTTTCTTCACTTCGATTTCCTCTTCTGCTTCTTCTCTCAATCTTCTTCCACTTTTGCGTCCGCGCCCCACCCTGCCTACCAGCGACGTATCGATACGATAACAATAACGTCCGCGTTTACTCGTACGAGGTTCAGAGAAGCGAGGACGCATTCGTTCCCGGGGCCGGCGAGGGAAACGGAGAGAGGGGTGGAGCGAACGAGGAGGATGGGGAAAAAGCGGGTTGACACGAGGGAGGAACGTCAGGAACAAGAAGAGAGAACGTCCGGATGTGCCGGGACGAACGACGAGGCGTGAGTAAGCTCACGGGAGGAAATTAATTCGTGGAAAGAGAGGAAGAGAAGGATGGAAGATCAGGCATCAGAAAATAAAGAGGAGTAGAGAAGAAGAGGAGGACCACGGTGAGAGCGTCGAGAGGTGGTGATGTGCGTTTCCATCACAGAAACGGATGACTTGCCCAACGAAGACACGTACAGAGGGTTGGCGAAGAGTAATAGTAGTAGTAGTAGTAGTAAGAGGAGGAGGAGGAGAGAATGCGAAGAAGAGCCGAGAGAGAGAGATCGTGAGGAGCGCGGGAAGAGGGCCCGGGTACGACGAGAGCATGGAGGAATGAAATCTTCGAGCGGCGTAGAACGGATGTAGGGAGGTGTTTTTATGAAAGGCCAGCAGTGTGCGTTGACGTCAATTATATAGGTGGCCACGAAGAGCAGATAGCCGCCTCTCGTCCGATGCGCACGAACCCCGGCATACGTATATGAGAGAGAGGTCTTCTCCTTAATGGGTTAGGTTTAGGTCGCCGGAGAGGTTATCGGGTCTCTCTCTGTTTCTCCGTCTCCTTCTCGGACAGGGATTTTCAAAGTAGATAAGTCGGAGGGGGGATCGCGAGCGTTTCAGTTTCTCGTTTGCGTGTGAGACGTGGTGAGGTGGAGAGAGGGAGAGCGATGGAGAGCGGCGGCGTGTGTTCGCCAACTGCGAGACCCGCGAAGGAATCAGCTGGGTGAAGAGAGGAAAAGGGGGGCAACGGGGAGAAGGAGGATTAGGTGCGCCAAGCAGCGCGGAATTGGATGGGCTCGGGCTACCGTCTTGCACCTATACGTCTCGTGCGCGAAATACCGAGGCGATCGGTTTACCGTTTACTCGCTTTTTCGCGCTATCTTTGTTAAGGTCAACGAACTCGGCGTGCAGGCTATATAGGTGACGAACATCAAGTTAATCGCGAGAAACGTGGTCGGAGATCGTTTCCATATCGCCGAATCGTTGAATGCTCTCACCCCGAGATTAGACGCGTGACGTCAACACGAGCGATTTGTATATACGCGCAGATTAACGCCGATCGCTTTTCTCGGTTAGGCGCGCCGGTGAATTTTTCAAGAATCAATCTGATCTCTCGAAATCTCTCGGCAGCAATTTTTCGGCGCGGCTCTTCGGAGGATACGAAACTGTCCGTTTCGCGTAGCTGACGTAACGTACCGTGAAATTTACGGATACGCGAGACTAATCGCGCGACGTCGTCGGCGTGTTCTCCTCGGTGCGTGAAAGCGCGCGCGCGTCAGTCGCGACGCGTAAAAGTCCACGGCCTTATTCTTTCTTTCCTTTTTCCGTCTCGCGCCGCTCTTTTACGCTGCTACTACTTCCAAGAATATTTTCAGTGTCTTCCGTCCCGCACGCGCAGCCGTTTTCACGAGGTCGAAGGCTGCTTATGCCGTCGGCCCTCCGTAGTGCGCGATCTGTGTTGTGCGCGAGTTGCATCAGAGTGGGAGAGGTGCGCGACCCGCGGGTTATCACTGACCTCTCTCGCGGTACCTATATCACAATCCTAGCTCTCCACGTATATCTCGTTGCCCGTTGGCGTTGCGCAGGAGCTCGTCAAATTTTCACACACGTTAATGCAGCGCGAGACTACGACGTTTGTTCGCAATCGAAAATCTCGTTTGCCCCCCTTCCGTTCTCATTTTTTTTCTACTTTTCAGATCACCTTTTTATTTTCTGCGACGTTTATCACATTCTATTCATTTATAATATTTTCATATTTTATTGTATTGTATTTTATTTTTTTATATCTTATCTTATTGAAATTCGCAGCTGTTAGAATAATAATTAGTAGTTAATATTAAATAAATAACAAGTTAGAAAAGTGAAGTTGAGGTGTTTGTTTCAACAATAATGAAAAAGTGAAGACATAAAAAATCAAATGCGTAGAGTGGAATGTATGAACGCGTTAAGGGACAATTAGGTACAATCATAGTCCCTTTCACGCGAAGATGAGGGTCGATCGAAATGTCAACGAGTTGTCGGAGTTCATATTTGTACACGCGTTTGCTGCGTGATACGTATCACCGCCATATGTTTGTAGATAAAACCGATATTAGGAGCAAATAATGAAGATGATGCTTTTACGTGACTTAGAATTTTTACTAACTTGTTTATTTATTTAATATTTCGTTAGACTATCTTTTATTATTTGCTGCTTTTTGTATACAAAATATTTATGTAATCTTGAATTTGTTTTATTTTGACTTTGATACCGTAACAAGTAGCTGATCTATTTTTTTTTGTAATGGCAACTCTCTCACGCGGATTTATATTTATTGCCGTAAGTTATCGCTTTGCATATTTTAGTTCATGATTCATCACGCAAGCGCATCACGCAAACATCCGCGAGTTCTCATCTAAAAATCGCTTGATTAATGAATCCGGTCGTCGGCAAGAGCGTCCGAAGGTTGTGCACGTGTAGCATCTTAACGCCTCGGTCACGCGTGCGATATTTAGAAAAACACGTACTTCGCCAGGGACAATAAAATAAGGAGCTTTAAATTGATCGACGATATATGTGTACATTTCTGTGTCCGCGTCGCGTCGTCGTTTGCGTGCCAGAGACGCGAGAGAGTTGCGATACGTAATTAGCTAACGATGTCGAAATGTCTATTTGTCGGAACAACTTTGTCGCTCGCGATAAGTATGTCCTTCCTCTCCTTATTCGCATGCATGAGTATTATTCACCGTTGCGGCCGGAAGAGTTGGCATGGGCTGCGACACCGGCTCCAGCCCGACTCTCATCCGTTTCGCGTTGTCACTCTCGTTTTCGCAGGCCGTTGCCAGAATCTGTTCGGCCTGCACCGAGGTCAAGTGCGCTGGTGTTGGTCTGGCCTAAAAAGAAATGCGTACGTCACATCCGCGATCGTTCGCCGGATACCGTACTTGACTCACGCCCCGAGAACGCTCAAGCTTTCATGAACAAAGTTTCAATTCAAGGTCGACGATTTTAATTGCTGAAATAGCAGACCCGGAAAATCTTGAAAAATTCACAAGTGACTAAAATTTATGTAATTGCGATTTTGAGTTTAAAAATGTGTCAAAACTTGCAAGAAAAAACTTAGAAGCTAATTAGCTTGCTATCTTACGATTAAACGCTATATAAAAACTTACGGCGTCCCAAGGGCCCTCCCTGCCGCGTTTGTTTCTCCGACAGCTCTTCAGGTACGTTCGGATCCTCTTCCTGGCCCTCTCGGCAAACTCGGGAAACTGTCTCGTGCAACTATCGATGATTGCCTGTATCTTCTCCTTCGGCTGCTTCGAAATCGGCACGATGCGATCCAAGTTCTCGTCGACGAACAGCCTCACGAACATCTGCCGCGAGACACGACGCCAACGGCCACGTTAGTGGAGTGAATTAAGCGAGAGTTGGTACGCGAGTCTCGCTAACCGCTCAAGGAATTAAGAATTTAGTGGCGGTGGGGGCGCAACACCGGGACTCTATTAAACTAATTGTAATTAATTAAGGAGCTAGCGCAACAGCGGCAACCGTCGGCGAAACTACGACCGCTTGGCTTTCACGCGCGGGGAAAACGGGCAAAAAAAAGAGATATACGAGGGACGGAAAATAAGGGAGGGAAAACTCGGAGAGAGAAATGGCATGCCCTGTTTCCCCTACGAATCGGTTCTCTGGCGCAACCGTTCATAAAACTTTACGATAATTAGGGTTTTTCGGAAAGGTCCGACGCGCCGCCAATATGCTGACGGCCTTAACTTCTCCGCTCGAGCTCCGTTGCCGTTTTCTTCTGCTCTCGCGCACGACCCTTTCCCCGACCGAGGCGTGAACGACGATTTTCTTGCAACGACGGTTGCATAAAGCGACCAGTTAGACCGCAATTGCCCGTAATTCAATTACCGTTATGCATCTTCGGATAATAAGGGTCATGATTATCGCTAATTGTCGTTTAATTATTCTTGGAATTTTCAATTCGAGATATTTCGAGGTATATTCCTGAAGTTTTAAAGAACGAATTTTACGGAGCTGTGCAATGGAATTGCGTATGCTTACGTTGAACGCTTTGAGACGTTCCGGATCGTGGTGTCTCGGATCCAGTCCCTCGTCCGCGTCTATATCGTCGTCGTCCTCGTCTTCCTTGTTGCCACTACTACTGGTCTCATCGTGGGCGCTTCCCGTTCCCTCGCCACCGGGCGGACTGGACTCGCGATCGCGATCCGACCGCGAGGGCGTTGCCGACGATGCTGGCGGCGGCGTTTTCTTGAAACCCATGGCGTAAGATGCCCACAAGGAAGCCATGTCCTCGCTGCCGACACCCGCCACGGCGCTCAGATTCGGAACCGTTCCCGCTGGCAAGTCCACCAATTCCGATGAACCGTTTCGAGAATCTGCGGATATATGAGCATTTTGTAATGATTTTAACAAATACTCCCTGAAGTGTAAAACCTAAATTTTTGTTATTCTCAACGAGACACGTATTCGTATAGGTGTAATTAACATTTTAATGACGGAAATGATAATAATTAATTATTATTATTTAAATGTCATTTATTGAAATGGATATTATTAGTATTATTAGCATCAATAATGATCATAATATGAACAATGGCATTTTTAATAATTACTACTAATTAATAACGCAAATTTGGTGATAGAAACACTTTGCATTCGCGATCGGTAATTATCTGGTAAAAGGGGAACCTTCCATCGGCATTGCCAGGAAAATAATAATGTTCTCGTTGAATGCCCGTCGTGCCGCGATGATTAGATCGCCGCCTCGCGCTGTTTCGATTTATGAATAGAGAACGTTGCGGTTGGAACAAAAGAAAGGAATATTTTTTTTCCCTTCCCACGCCGTGGCCAGGCGAAAAGCCGGTCATATGCGGCCGACTAGATACATGACTAGCAGCGAGAAAGAGAGAGAGTGAGAGAGAGAGAGAGAGAGAGACGGGGGAGAGGGCATGTGGGTGGTATTTATCCCGCGAATATAATAAACGCGGCGTACGTTCAGCTCGCGTGACGACACTGATTAGGGATGATCGACCAACAGAGGGTTAGCATTTCCTAAACGACTCCCTAGCCTTGTACCTGCGTGCATGTTACTGCCGATATCAACTGTTGAATTTCGGTATGTGAAGTCGGTGAATACGATAACGGCCACAATCTTCTCTGACAAAAAGTCGCCAGGTCTTTTTGGAGCTATTTTTCGATCTTTAACAATATTTATAGATTGGACACTTGATAACGGTTACGTAATAAAGTCGGCGAAAGATTTGGGATAAATATAAAGTATTGATAGATAGCCAGAGAGTCAGGTAGTATAAATTGATTAACTTCACGCTGTCTTTGTTAAGTGACCCCACTTGACGACTATACTTCACTTTTTGGATCGCAACCTCAATTACGATATATAAGTACAATAGTATCGATGCAATGCACGTATATATCTTGACAACATAATTAAAGCTTATAACTTTGATTTCAAACTTCTTCTGATCGATACCTGTATGATTCCGTTATTCCAACTGGATTACAATTCACTTAGAATTAATTTCGCCATATTAAAATGCTTACGAAAGTCTTAAGAAATAAAAGTGATGTCAAGTCAACGTCTCTCGCGTTAGCAAATCTTCAAGGGCAAGATTGCGTTGAACTCTCTCTCTAGAAGGCAGAATAAACCTTAGCATGTCAATTGTGTCGACGACAGTAAGATTGGACCGTCATTCGGCTGTCTGTTGTGTAGACCGTGTTTCTTCTCTACAATAATAACGGCGACTTGTTCTCAAAACCCGTAATAAGCCCCGATAGCGTGTGCAAGGTGTTAAAAGGCGGTGCGGTCTTCTACCGTCACGATCCCAGGAGAGAATGTACGGTAAAGGTGCTTTCACGAGGAGGATGTCGACGGGGACAGGAACGAGTCGTGGCCGCCGAGAAACTTCACGTACGAAGAAGTGTAGGTATGGATTGTCTGCAGGGAGTGCCGCAGGGGGATCATAAAGAGGCTAGCGAGCCTCGCGGAGACCTCTTCCATCTGGGACTCTCCTTGGTTCCAATTAAAAAAAAGAGACAGGTTTGCGGCTGCCGTTTCGTACAATCACACGTCAACGACATGGACATCTATACAAAGCCATCCGGTTAAGTTCGCATTAATTTTTACACGCTACTCACATTACAATTCTCATAAATATATATTAGACTCGATATACGTATATACATTTCGATTCTTAAATATAAAATATGTATCAGGAAAGAAATTTCACTTATGTTTTCCAAAACGATCGATGGAAGGATGACGTATTTTCTAAAGTTTTTTTTTATAATGACCGTAATATTAATTTTATTATTTCATTACTAATATCTAGATCAAAAACTGAACTATTTAGAAAAATGATATAAAGTAATAATATTCTAGGACGAATGATAAGATACGATTACGAAATGTGTTTGTTTTCTGATGACGCGGCTAGTCTGATCTGAACCGGGCGCGCACGTTCTTAGATCCTACTCCCTTCGCTGTGTGCGCGAAGTAATCTGCATTCTGGAATCGAATTCTTCCGAGCGTAGTTTCCAAGACGCCGTCGAGGCGAACGCGTTGCAAGGCAACGTCTTGGAACATTTGCATCGTCAAGGGGCAACTTTCCGCCGGGCGCTTCAGCTTCCCCCGCGCGAAGACGCAAAGTCTATCTGGGCGCAGCTATCTCGGGTGCTCGAACGGGCGATCCTGATTCCACGAGTTGTTCAACGATCGCAACGCATCTTTCTAGGAGGATTCCGGTAGAACCAGTAACTGAACGCGCGAGCGGGCGACCTAGGAAACTGGACCCTCGTCCAGAAGACGTGCTGGCGAAGGCACCGTACGTTTCTTTCCTCTTTTCTCTGCCTCTCCATCTCTCTCCTTCCCCGTCTTTCTCTTACTCCCGCGGTCCCACCGGTCCTGGAGGTTGCTGCACTTCGATTCTCACACGCACACGCATGCGGTATACGTGTAGTACCTACTCGCGGTTATACGGGAAAAAATCACGCGCGTACACAACGTGTATGGGTACATATGTGTGTGCGCGCAACGCTCTCTAGGAGGGTACGGCATCGCACGCAGCGAGAGAGGGTTCCCGGCCTGCGGCGAGCGTATGCCGGGTATCGCCGGAGAGTAGTCGGAGAAGGTAAGGGAACACACAGCACGCACATAAGCGAAGCTGGACGCACGGCTAGACTGCCCGCACGAGCTAGAAAGCCGGTTACCAATCCCAATCCCACACCATCTAGTACACCGTTCCTGAGCTCGTCTCTTGGCCGCTGGCCTGAACCTGAAATGAGTCGACGGCGTCGGCCCCGGCCCTGGCGCCCCACCCGGCAGTTCGTCTTCCTCCTGGTTCATTCCCTCGACCTCGCGTTCCCGCAAAGGGAAACTAATACCCCGGCCCCTACGACCACACCAGGCACTTCCTCTTTTTCTAGGCGGCTCGCTGTGTACGTGTACGCGTATGTATGTGCCTCGAGCGAGCCTAGCGCGCTACAAAATCCGCAGACAAGCCACGAACGCCCACGGTACTTCGGGCTAGGTATGAAACTGTCTACCGCTCGGGATGGTAACGTGCAATCGCGAGGATGGACGAAGACGTATTATCTTGTCCCTCATAAATGTCACTGACCATAGTAGGACGTTGATGGCATGTGCGTGTTCGCGTCGACGTGAAAGAGAATTCGGAAGTTCTCGGTTTGTGCTTTTAGATGATTATGCTTGACAATTAAATGATGCTTTCTCTGGAATATCTTAATTTATCACTTATTTTTGTATTGTCGATTTAATTTCCAGTAATAATTCAATAATATTTTGATCTTTTTCATTTTATTTATAATTAATTTGTTACTTCAAAATCGGGTTCATAAATTTCTGAAATCTTTTAGATGACGATTCTCTTGAATTTTCATCGGTTTTCTTAATTTTGAATTTATTCATTTACTTTTCAGTACGAAGACAAATACAAGAGATAATAATTGATATACAGATTCACGATTGTAGATCTTAAGTGCATTAATGATTTAAAGTTGAACATAGAATAGAACATTCATTATTATCTGAAAGAGCGATCTTTAAAGATAAATTAAGACAAATGTTATGTATGATTGTTCTGATGTATGATTCAGATCCGGAAGCTGTCATACTAAGACATTGTGATTTTGTGATATATCGCAAGCATAATCGCCGCGTGTGCGTCCGTTGGGGAAAGTTGCGTCCGTTATAAATTATAAATATTAACCCGACTCTACCGCGGAGTACATTAAAAGATGAGAAGCTAAAATGTCCTTGTGGTCATTTTTCCGGGTCTCTTTTTCTATCAAGATATCCAAGTAGATAAAGTAACTTTATCGAGCATTCGATTTGTAGCACGATCCAGAGATTTTTCAGATAAATATCGCTATTTCACGCAACTTACTTAAAAAAGAATTATTTTCTATGTGGATATCAAAGATGATATTAATATGAAAATTCTTAAAATAAAAATAAATATATAATATGTATATAAAAATATATTTCAGAAATATATATTACTGAATATTAAGAAATTACTTCGAATTTATATTAGATCGAAGCGGGGCGTACGCAAAATTACAAACGCGGCCACGAATTCTTGGTTGAAAATGCAAATCCCGCAAGATTATCTCGGGAGATTGGGACTCGGATCGAATCGCCGACTCGCAACTCGCGATCGGCAAACTGACGATTCCTGTCGCTTTTCCCGCTGGTGATAGTGCGGCAGAAGAAGCGGTTGTATCTAGAAATTGATTTGCGAAACGCATATCTCCGAGGTGGACGGACTCCAGTGAGAGAAGTCCTCCGCACGAGATGTGGAATCTGCGCTGGTCATCACGTGGGAGGGAGGGAGGGAGGGAGGGAGGGAGGGTTGGTGCGACGAGAGAGAAGAGAGGTCTATCCCTTGTGCGGTGAACGTGTATGCGCATATACATATATGTGTATATAAATATAAATATATATATAGATATATATATACTCGTCTCTTCGGCCGATGGCTGGTTCATTACGCAATGACTACGTCCGAGATATAGAGGCCCGCTTCGAAACCAGTTTCAAATAGCTGCCAGGGAGGATAGGTGGAAGAGGCGTACTGCGGCGAAGGGGTACGGTGAATTATCCTTCCGCAACCTAACTGAACAACAGGCGAGTCCGGAGAGCATGCAGTACCGCGCGGAAACGTTCGGCGCTTTGGAAATCGGTGAATGATTATCACTATATAGTGTTAAGAACGCACGCGACAATTAACGCGCGCATGTCTTTCATTGCCAAGGATATTTCACTATTTCATATAACATTAACAAAAAAGCCTTGAGTAATTGTGGAGTAATTGGGCAGTTTTTGATTACAGCTATTTGCAGATCGCGAAACGTTAATTTTTTATATTTTACAATAGAAAGAATTTAATCTTATCATTCCAGATGCGAATCCGTCAAATTCATAAAATTTTAATTAAAATCTAGTTTTACTAAGAGATGATTAGCTTTACAAAATTTTGTGCGGGCTTTAATTATGAGTTTAATTATTAGAAATATGCGCAATATATTCGTATATGTTTAATACTTTTACCATAATATAACTCTACTGGAAAATCGCAACGTTCCTTGCTCCTTGCATCGGAAAAATCGATCGCTTGGATAAGCATTAACAACGCGGCGCATAGGCTATAATTCAAAATCGTTTTAAGAGACCCCCCACTTGCGATATTGTAATAGTAGACTCTAATGGCCTTTCCGCGCGCCCACTCTGCGATTTTCGATATTCAACTTTCAATGTCCATCAGCCGACACAATTACCGCATTACATTTGTCACTCCCATTCACCATAACTCGGCTCTATGTTCAACCAGGCCTCTCAAGCGCGAGGTATCAAAGTACGCGATGTCTTGGGCGCAGGTCTCCTTCTCTAGCTAATCGGAAATGCAACCGGTATTTTAATATTGTAATAATCTAGTCACTTTAGAGTTGTAGCAAATGAGAAGGCAGACAGAATTTCAAAAATATAAGAAATCGAATGATCGATTTAAAACGATCGAGTTTTAACGGACACTGCTTAGGCAAGATTACATTTTGCGATGGCGCAAAAGAATGCAAGTTTCTACGATGATTACGTAAGGATTAATGAACAAGGATGACGTACAACAATGCGCACCGCGTTCGCATCGCAAACTCCGAGAGAGGTATTGATGCTCGAAGATAAAAGTTGCATTCCTCATCTCTCGCGTGCGGCTTTCCGCCCGCACTGATTCATCGCCGGCGGGGAAAAGCGCGAGGATTCACGGCGTGTCTCATCCCCGCGATTCACCCTGGCGCGGATTTCACAGGAACGCGTGGGTGTGGAACAGCGAGGAGAGAGACCGTTCGCGAATGTACACGTAGGTAAATGAGACGCGCGTCGAATTTCTCTTTCTACGCCATGGGGTACGTCCTAGGTCGGCGATCCATTAGTCACGTCGCGTGCGACGACAAAACTTTACGAGCTAAATGGCCGGTACACCTTGGCCCCGCGAAACCTGCAATTCACTCCGCCGCGCCGAGCCGAGCCGAGCCGCGCCGCGCGTCTCACGTGCAAGAAGGACGCAAAACTTGAGCATTAAAGCCTCCAGCCGCGCTTACGCCAGGCGGAGCAAGGTTCTTTTCATAAGTGGGATTTCGTCAGTCAGGGCGACATCAATGGGACGTTGGCGTACGTAACTTCGTTGAGTCCTTTCGTGACGAAGAAGAAAGAAAGAAAGAACGTCTAGACATCTTTCGTCCCGTAATGGATTCCGTTAAATGTCTCGCCTGTCGATTTCGCGAGGAAACTCTTTTTTTTGTATACTCCGTGACGTTTGCAATCACGGTACAAAGTTGTGGTCGAATTTGCACGTAATACCACCGACCTCGATTGATTCTCGTTCGTAGTCGTTGAAATTAGTTAATGACATTAAATCCTAGGATGTATGATTTTATAGTATAACAATTTGTAAAAGCTAAAATAGGAAAAAAGACGATTTCGAGAGATTTGTTTTGAATATTGTAGAAAAAAAAATTACCTAAAAGAATTAAAAATTTATCTAATACGGTCTTCAAGATTGCTGCCTAAAGAAAAAGTTATTCTTCTTTTTTAACGTACATTTTTCTCGCTAAAATCATAAGACTGCAAAAAGAGCTTAAAACATTGACAACACCATTTGTTCCTAATGTTTTGCGCGCAATTTGCGAATATATTTTTATGGCTTAGGAGGACATCACGACACCTCTCGAAAATACCGTATATGCCGCTCGGTGAAATAAAGTGTTACCTGTGAGTGTGGAGTTGTTAATGGTGTTGTTTGCCGTGGAAATGGCCGATTGGCTGGTGACTGGTGTGCCAACAGTGGTAGCTGTGGTAGTCGACGAGTTATTTGGCGAGAGAGCCGCGTTGGCAGCCTGGACCTGTGCCTGCGCCTGTACTTGTGCCTGGAGATTATAATTCCACGCGAGCAGCATCAACTTCAGCTTATCCGGGTCTTTCATGAGTGCGCCTGCCAAAATTAAAAGTGCCAATTGGCTTCAAACAAGTTAAGAAACCATTACGCAAAACGGATGAGAGTGCGCCGCGCGCGTGCACGGTGCGGAGGCTCGCGTTAACTCGGGAACTCTCTCTCTTTCTTTCTCTCTCGCAAACGGGGAGTCCTTGCTCATACGAGATTGGAGTCATACGTCCGGATGCGATCTTATATCATGAACGAGTCGCGACATTCGTCATCCACCTCCGGTGTCCGACCTCGGTACGCCGGAGGCTATTATCACTTATCAGCTACCTGAGCTCGCGAGGCGAGCTCCGAGCGAGCGAGTTGCGCGGACGAATAAATTAAGCTTAACAAAACAACAACGTCGTCGACTCGATTTAATAACGCAACAGGTTTAATTACCCGAAACTGATAAATCGGCCGGCCGGCAGGCCGCGTAGCTCCGACCGTCGCAGCTGGCGGCGGACCGTTGTGCCGTTTACGATTATTAATCGATCGGGTAATTTACACGGGCTCCGACAAAAACCAAACCAACCCCGCGGGCCTCGACGGATTAAGCCCCCGCGAGTAAGTGAATCTACGATTAACTCCCCGCCGAAGTATGCGCTGTTGATTTATCCTTGGACGCAATCGAGCCGGCCAACGGATGTCGGGTTATATTATTGATCAGCGTCGCGGTAGAATTCGACGGCGCGATTAACGACGTCTTGTCGACGCGATTCGCTCCGTGAGATATCTACCGGGGCCCGGCGAGATCTACGAGCCAGTCTTATGTTAGCATCGCACGCCTCGTGACTCGTCTCGATGCACCGACCGAACTGATGTCCTAGAGCGAGCGATGACGTATATGCCTTTTCGCGTACTCCGATCGAGCTCGCTTGCGCCGACCGCATGAGTAAACCGATGAGTAAACAACACGATTCGTGCAACGCAAACGAAAAATAAGGCGCCGACAGCGATAGTTCCTGAAATCGTGGCCAATACGACGAAGGCCGGTCGCATGCACGTTGGCGAACGACGAGCGGTAAGTAATGCATGACGCGATCATGTTTCCTGGCAATATTGACGTTGATCTTTGAAATACTTGAATTACAGTCAATCTAAACTGATTGCTCGAAGACTGATTTATAACAAATAAGAATTTATCTTTATACATGTACAACATGTGTGAAATAAGTAGTTATTGAAAAGATCAATAAACAAATACACATATTCACAGCTCGTAGCTTGTTTGCTTATCGCTTACAGTCGCGGCCTTACGCACGACTCTCGAGTATTATCCGAGATAGTAGGGCAATTAAAACATGCGAATCAGAAGGACAGTTATCTAACGAAAGAATCAAAGTGCAGTGTGCTAAACGCGTGACATTTAATCCGTGTGAATGAAAACTAGAGGGAGATTATGAGGTATATGGATAGAAAAGATATTTTATCACGAAGATCTTCTATCGCTACCGGAATCTTAAATGCCAAACTCAATGCCTACTATTCTTATTTTTTTTTTCTACGACGATAGTTTATCGTTATCTCGTATGAATAAAGACCTGTTTCGTAGGTAGCGCGCTTTAAGGGGATGCTGGAGACAGGTCTGTTTTACCACAAAATTTTCAGACACACAAATCTTTTGATTGATTTCACCGAATTAAAAATTTTTTGTCCAGAATTAAAGTATGGACGATAACGAAGACGGCAGGCACCAATTGCGTATAAAAAACAAAAAAAAATTAGAAAATTACATTTTTATTTTCGATTCTGCGGTCGACTCATGACAACATTTGCTGCAGATAAAAGTTTTACACTGTGTACGTATACAAAAACCTTGCAGCCGTCACGGAAATACAATAAAGAAGAATCCTGTGCTTGCAGAAATGAGCTGCGAGCTTTAGTATAAGAGAAAAGTATGTTAGAAAATTTCATATGCACATGTTACGCGTCTCCCCGAATTCAGCCAAAAACTCTGCGCTCTGTATGTATGTGTAAAAATCGGTGAGCACTTCTTTATCGACGCTGGTCGAGTTTGCCTGCGCTCTGTATGTATATGTAAGAATCGGTGAGCACTTCTTTATCGACGCTGATCGAGTTCGCCCGCGACTCCAGCATCCCCTTAACTAGGTGATTTCCAAATCGCTCTCAAGGAGGCTCGTCGTCATCCAGCGAAAGAAATTTGGTCACAGGCAAACTCATTGAAGTTCGGATCTGTGTACATGTATACCATATATGTGTCACGTATATTTCTTCTACGTGCTTCTCTCGCGAAATCATTAATCCTGGTTTCTTTTATTTTAATCTGACCGCACACTCTCTGTGCATATAACGTATTATACACGTCCGTTCCTCTCCGAATGCCGAAGACGAACCGTTCCTGTGTGTCATGAAACCGTAATCAAATGCACGGTGCCGAGTAACGCGCTCGATACCACTAATTCATTATATCGATCCGTGCCACGCGAGCTGCCGCGAACGTACATTGGAATCGAACAGCCGATATTAACCCTTAGATTATTATGCCTTGATTTATTACCATCTGAGATTCTGCAAGGATTAACCGGAAAATATTCGAAGAATATCCGGTTTCAATAATTGTAAATGTAGTATTTTATCCACGGAAAAATTTATCTTTCCATTTAAATAATCCATTTAAATAATCTAACTTTCATTTTTTTTTGCAACTTATTAATTCAGATTGCAATGTTTAATCACAAATTATCATTTACATCTTACCTACTTTACAATATATATCCAAGCATATAAAAATCAAAGAAATACAGAAGTTTAAGTTCCTCTTTTATAAATTAACGGAAGATATCAACGTTCGTTCCAAAATTTGTTTGCGTAAAATTATCATTAAAGTACGTTGCGCACGAAATTCAGTTCTGTCAATTCAGCTTATTATAATAATGAATAACGACGGCAGCAACGACGGTGATGGACGAAGTGTACGAACGAGCTTACTATTAATTCGCGCAAATTCCGCGGGAACGACTGAAATAACGATGTTCCGCGTAGTTCCCCCGGCATACAACCGCACGTAATCGGACCGGAGAGTTCAAAGGGACAATCCGCAGATTTTCTAGCGTATCGCGCGGGCACGGTTCCGTTTGTTCATCCGAGCGGCGGAATTAGCGGTGACACACGACGGACGGGCGCTTCGGCCGCGCGATGACGAGAGCAGAGATTTATTAGCCGGCGAACAAACCGACGAAGAGAGAGAAAGAGAGAGAGAGAGAGAGAGAGGGTGACAGAGGGAAAGAGAAAGGGCGAGGCGGAGAACGGCCGCGCGTCGCGCCGGCAGCAGTCGGAGTGAGGTTTAAATCATTCAGGACACGGTTCAATAATGTAAAAACGTGCGGCGTTGTCGTAGAATTCGGGTCAGATTCCCAAAACGGTTGCGACCTGACCCCGCGACGACGCGAAGATACGAAAAAGACACGAGGGACGGTTCTTCCAAACGCACTCGAAAAACGATAAAAACTCAGCTCACACACACGCATGCACGCACGCACGCACGCGGCAAGTATACGCCTCTGCACCTTGTTTTGTAAGGACTACGATCTCGTAATTCTCAGCCGGGTGAAGGTTCGGCGGGGGACACCTCTCCGACACCGACTATGAGGGGCACGGCAAGGTTTATGCCACGGGATAGATATAGATAATGAAAGGTTTTGCTCACTTGGGTAGTGATCGTCCTCGGATATGTCGGTGGGCTCCGGGGTCGAGATGTTCTCCTGCAACAGATAGAAAGCCACCGTTAGGTACTGAAGCGTTTTCCATTCGTAGTCGTGCTATAGCGGTCCAACGGTTTCGCCCTAGGCTGCGCGGCTACGAAAGCGAACGGGACAAAACTCTCGGCGACGCGTTTAAAAGTTCGTGAAACTCATTTTCCGCAACTACCCGTTATGATAATACCGCGCGGACGCAGCCGCGGACGTGACCGCATCGTTACGCAGGGCCAGATGCTTCGCGGTCTTATTTAGTCTTGCTATGCAATGTCCATGACACTTTTGTAAAAATTTTCTTCAAATATTAACATGTTTGAGAGAATGTTTGAGCAAATTTGCCCTTGATTAAGCCAAAGTTTACGTAATAAGTGCCGAATATGTGACAACGAAAAACTTCGTACTTATTTTTGTCATGTAATCATTTAATCATTACATAATTATAAATTGAAACAAAGTATTTTATTAATTGAAGTCATTCATTAATGATTGTTTCCTTTTTAATTTATTAATAATATTCCTTAATTATTATTTACTTATACTTTACGCTATATTCGACCTTATATAAAAATGAAAAAATTCACTAGAATTCGTAAGTTCTTACCACATTGCGTCGTGTCATAAGACATACGGTCAAGAAGAAGCTATCGAAGGCTATCTGCGTTACCATACGCCCACAGGAAGACCGTGGACTTTATTGTCCCAGATCAAGAGCCGGCGGCGACTCGCGATTCGTCGAAACGCAAATTGCTTACGCCTCGGCGTTGAGCCGCGCGTTGCGAAGGTGACGCGCGTCGAGAATCTCAGATCAGTAGCGCGAATGAGCCTCTCAACCCTTTCACGATTAACGCGGTCAGTCTGTCTCCGGCTTAAGCACCGCGCCATATACGCGTGTACAAAGATCTTCTCTGAACATGGCCCGGCGAAATAGGATCGTCGACCAAGCGAGAAATGATGAACGCAGAAACGCAATTAGCTCTATGTGGATTAGGAAATTATTAATTATCGCGCGTGTCAAAAAATGTTCTGACATAACTTCCTTTCGCAATAACGCATAAATGTAGTAAGTGCATAGATAACAGTCATTATATTATAACGGATCGTTATAACGGAGAATTAACCCATCAAATCATCATCTTTTCCAATAAACTTCTACTTTCATTGCAGCAACGTTACGATAATACAATAAATTTTACTATATCAGATAGCATTTCCCAAAATGTAACTGTTACATTACTCCTAACGTCAAAGCGATTTTCTACACGGCTCGTTCTCAAAAAATCATCCTCTTTTTACGCCACTGGCCGAGATCGAGTGGTCAGGGTCGTTTTGAGGGAATAAGGCCGAGGTTCGTCGGACAGAGGATCAACCTCTATATGGTCGGGTCGTTTTTCATCGAAAAGAGCAGCGCGAAGCGTTCCTCGCGCTGCTCCGTGATATGGCATCGCTTCCCGCGCGCGCCGCGCGGCTCTAATCGATCCTCGTAGTCGCGGCAAATCGAGGCGATCTTCCAGGCTCTAGCGGCGCGATTTTATCTCACTTTGATTGATTTTATCCCGACGAAATTAACGGGGTTTTCCCCCGTTGAAACGAACGGCCGGCCGGTCGGCCTGCCGGCAGTTTCGCAAGGCATGCACTACGTTAGCCTGTGCGATGCCTGGGCCGACTGGTTCGCGCTGTGTATTGCTGCAGCAGGCGCAAGCGGCGGCGCAGTCTCTCTCCTATCTGTGTCAGGTCTCGTGTTGCAACTTCAGAAGGTCGACCGGTATACAACGCGGAGAGCACGGCCAATTGATACCGGCCACAACTTTGTCCAGCGGGCTTGTAGGACATAGGCGTGCGAGAGCGCGTACGCGCCTGCATACGTGTGTCGGTGTGCGCGCGGCGCCGTAAAAACTTTTGATGATGTAACCGAGAAATTCCGACGAGCCCGGCGGCGTTCGCGCTCACGAACGTGGAAATCGCGAGAGGCAGCGTGAGGATGAGATCCAATCGCGACGAAATGTCGCGTCGCGCTTTTTTTTCAAGATGAACGGTCATCTTCTGCATGCGTGTGCGTGCGTGAAGGGGGAAGGGAAAGAGACGTTTGCGGAGGATATTCTACGATAAGAAAATATACTTTATACTGCACATTGACGGTTTTACAGTTACGTTAGAGCGCTATTGGATGTTGGAACGAGCAAAGCGCTTGGATAGCCCGAAACATCGCGAATTTTATTCACATCGCTTTTATTTATGTCAATATGATTTCGTTTATATATTAACAACGCATTAAACTTAAAATTGCTAATTATATAATTATAATTTATAAATTAGTGAATTTACTCATCTACATATATAAACAACTTTTTAATTTTTGCGTACATTTCACTTGACATACATTAGTGAACTCATTTTTCATAATATGAATACCGAATATTTGGTCTCAATCTTTATTTCCACACTTTGCTTTAAGTATCAGCTATGTTTTTGTCGGGCGAAACGAATTGATGGGACGGTGCCTTCAGAGAGGTCCATCGGTATATTAGAAGGCGGGCACAGAATCTATTTAATAATCGGTGGAATTTATTGGCTGGGCGTCTTGCTCCGCTTCTCTCTTTCTCACACTTTCCTCTCCCCTTCCCGCCCACTAGCTGCACCGTTGATTTCCAGCTACGCACTCGTAGAAGGTTATTTTAAGAATCTTTCATTAAGAATTTAATATAGCATGATTTTCGCGGACCCGGTCGCGGAAGTATCTATAGATAACTATCGATTATAATGAGTCCTCTTTCTTTATAATCCGAACCGAGTCGGATGAGAGGGGAGATAAAGATCCAGATAGGAAAGTACAAATAAAACCCGATATATAAACCTGAAGATAAAATAGAAATGTAAGTGGAAAATAAAACTTCTATCGCAATTTGATCTCAGCGGGGAAACTCCCCGACAGATTCTAGTGATCTAAGGCCCCGCCTTTGCGGATTTCAAGAATCGCCTCGCGATCAACCGTGCCGCGCGCTTGTCCCGGAGGTCTCGATCCCACCGCAGTCGATCTCGGCTCGGCCTGGTACACCGTCAAGGTGTTTGCCATTAAAGATAATCGTGGCGGGTTACCTTCTGAGAAGGAGTCGATCGGCGACGAACGGATTGAGCTCCGCAGCGGTATTCTAGTAATTGATACCGTCGATACGATCATTACGAGTCACAATATCTGCGAATTGTTGCGTTTAATTTACGACAAGGACACGGAGGCGACAGAGCGATATAGGAAGTTGTGTGGAATTCACGGTACACGCGGAACTCTGTCGTCCGACAAACGGTACTGGAATAATACTTGAATGTGTTACGTTATCGTATACATCTTTTTGATGCATTATAAATCAGACTGATCTCTAAAATAGTTTACGAAATGTACAGTTAATTAAAATAAGGATACATAGAACATAAATAGAAATTTTGTTCAAAATATAGTTCAAAAAAGTGATAATTCATAAGTAAGATGATAGAATGTGAACGTCGAAATCTGAACGCATATCGGTATCATACTGATTTCATTTGCCGCGCCCAAGGACTCCGATGATGTCGCAGGTATTAATAAACAAAGATCCCCGGTCCTCCCGCTTCTCCCGCAGACCACGCGCTCTCTTTTTCTCTTTCTCGCTTCTTCTCTCCGTCTCACCTACGCACGGGGGCCGCCCCACTTCCGGTGGATGTACCCTGATAAATGGGAATCTCGCCGCGCGCGCAACCGACCGGCCGTATATACACCTACGACGACTGCGGCGAATGAGAAACGATCCCGGCGTCTTCCAGGCATGAAGCACGAGGACAAAAGACAGAAGCGAGCGGAAGGAGCGGAGTATTAAAACGGAGTCGAGAGTAGTCGCGCCGTTTAAGACTCCCCTGGATGCGTCGAGCGTTAACGATTCTGCTGCTTCTCCGGCTTACGGCTACCTCATTGCGATCTCGAAGATGATCTCGGAGAGATGAGAATTCTGTTGCAACGTTCGTCACCGAGGTCACATCTCGTTAACACAACAACCGCGAACCGCGCCTCGATTCACGCGCACGCATTCACTCGCGGGAACGCGTGACGGTCGGGATAAGAAAAGAAGAACGGAGAATCTCCTCTTCCACAGCCCTCGGTGACTCCGGAACGATAAGTTCTCTCTCTTCCAAGGAGGGAAGAGACATGTTGAACCATGCAGAACAACATATGAAAGGGAATTGCCGCGGAGCAAGGGGTGGGAAAGAAGGGCAGCGGGGCATAAGAGAAGAGAGCCACGCTCTTCGCGAGCGCCATTCTCGGCAGCTACGGTTGGAACATTTGTTTAGTTGGCTGCAATTAAGCCACTTGGCGGCAATTGTTTGTCGCTCCGCACAGAATTCCGCTCCCACCGTGCAGCCGCCTCGGCTCCACGGGAGATGCGATGTGGTACACTGTTACGCGCGCGTGTACAACGAGAAGGAGACGACGAGGCCACCGCGGGCGGGAGCTGCGTTGTGTTGTACCAACTCGCCACCAACACAGCAATTCCAGACGATAAAAGCGAGCGAGTTGCCGGGGTTAGGGGTCAACCGGGACCAGTAGCCGGTGTCCGACCAATCAACGTCAACCGGCAACCGGCACCGCGCCGCGCCGCGAGATCGTTCGAGACGATTGTCTTTTGTCTTTCTGACAAGTGAAGATGCTGAATTACCCGTCGAAGCCGCGACTAATGAGAGATTCTCGAGTCAAAAAAACCCAACTTCTTTCGAGATTGTCACTTTGGAACAACGAGAACGAGTCTATCATATCAGGCTCCGAGATTGTTTTTCTCGGTGACATTTCTGAAGTAATCCAATTTCCACAAGAATTCATAAATGCGACCATTCTTAACGTTATTCAATTAGGAAATATATACATACGTATCGATAATTTTAAAATGAATTTAATTAAAAATATTAATTTTTATTAAATATTGATTACTAAGGTAATACTATTACATAAAATATCAATGTAATGCGTATAGAATCGAGTAATAATT